TATCACCAGCATCATCACCAGCAGCGTCAACATCAGCGTCAAGCATCAGCAACATCACCATCACCATCATCGACATCACCATCACAACCATCATGGCCAAACTGTGGGTCACAACCAACGCAGTGCCATCCTTGCACAGGACCAACGAATAACTATAGCATAAACGTACATGTTTGAATATCCACGCGGATTTTTTGAATCGGGGCTGGACCCCCCCCTGGCGCGCGGAGAGCGCCAGGTGCGGTGCTGAAAGCGCCAGCAAGGAACTCCGGCGCCGCCGATCCGAGAAATCCGCAGGGACCTCCGGACATTCATGCTTGCGTCATGTTTTGTTCACCGACCTCTACCGATTGCCATCGTCATCGCCGTCGCCATCGCCATCGCCACAACCGTCACCGCCACGATCACCATCGCCAAGCTGTGGATCGCGGCCGACGCGGCGCTATCCTTGAACGCTTGCCAGGGCACGAGGTCCCAGCATCGGGTCGGGCGAAAGGGGGGGATAGCAAAGGGGGGGTTTGAGAATCAGCTTACGTAGCTGATTTTCCCGGCGCCTCCGGGCGCCAGGAGGCGCCCATGTATCGAGGAATGGGCCCGGCGGCGGGGCCGAAACCAGCTGCATCCAGCAAATTTCGTAACCCCCCCTTTTTCAATCCCCCCCCTTTCGCCCAGCCCGACAGCCGCAGGCCGAACCTCGCACACGCGCGCTTCGAGAGGCAGGGGGGGGCGCTCCGGCGCCTGCGGCGCCCGGCTCGGACCAGTTGGCCCTGCGCTTCACCATTCCGGTGGCACGGCGGGGCTGTGGAGCCACTGCACGCGCGCGAGGTGCACCCTGCTCGCGTCTGGCACGAAGCACACGAGAGAATAGTACCCCTACCCCTACTCCACCCCTACCCCTACCCTCGTGTTCGCGTTTTTGGGCCTCCTGGGAGGCCCTCGTCGGGGAGCAGCGGTATCGGTACGTTTTGGTGTCCCCAAGGAAGGAGGCCTCCCCCCCCTCCCCAGCCCCGACAAAACTGGATGGAAGTAGACATGGGGTCATGCGGTATTATTCGGATCGCCGCGAGATCGCGTTGATGCCACGTGGTTCGTCGCCTCCCTGCCACCCCATCAATGTTGGCGGGTTGACTGGTTTTTGAATTGAAAAAACCAGCTGTTGAATCCAAGAAACCAAATTTTAATTCAATGACCAATTCTTGGAATTCAAAAACGCAGAGCGCAGTTCCTCGAGCCAGCTTTGGTCTTGGGGCTAGGGGCGGGGTGGGCAGGACTGAATATTCCTATCAAGCTTTAGTCGGGAGGGTTTCGGCGGTGCGCACAAGGGGGCGGTGCGAAAGGGGGGGGCTTCTAAGAAGGAGGCTGCTTCTTAGAAGGCGGCGGGCCTTACATCTATAGATATGGCCCGCGCCTTCTAAGAAGCAAGGGTGCTTCTAAGAAGCCCTCCCCCCTCCCCCCACTCCCCTCTGCGCGTGGCTGAATCTTCACATCAAGCTTTTTTCGGGAGGGCTGCGAAAGACAAAGAAAACGGCGTAAACATAAGCTTTCGGAGCTCCGCGCGTATTTTTGGATCTGCGCTGGATTCCTCCTCCCTGGCGCGCGGAGCGCGCCGGTGGCGGCGCCGGAGGCGCCGCCAGGGGAGGCCAGCGCAGATCCAAGAAATTTGCGCGGAGCGTCGAAAGTTTGTGGTTATGCCATCTCTTGGTCCTCAAATGGAGGAAGCCAATGTTTTGGGTCCTGGGCATCTGGGGCCTTCCCGAGACAAACTTTTCATCCAGGACCGTTTGGACGGTCGGGTGGACCAGGGAGCCCCAAGAGGCCTGGACACACCGAGACACCTCCAAGACCCGTTCCCCTCAGGACCCCTCTCCTGCACGGTGACGAGGCAGCGTGCACAAGCCGAGATGTCGCCCGAAAACAAATGTTCCATGGCAGCCTCAGCTGCCGCTGAGGCCTGTGGCGAATTGGCTGCGTACTCTTCCCTCGTCGTGCCAGAAGAAGGGGCGCACGCACGTATAATACATATCGCGATTCGGCAGCGAGCCAGGGGGGAAGTGAGAAGGGGCGGGCCTTCCCAGAAGGCTCGGATCTCGCCGGGCCTTCTGAGAAGTCCTCTGGGCTTTCCCCGCACACGAAAAAAAACAGCAAACGTCTCAGAAGGCGCGAGGGCGTCTGAGAAGTCCCGCCGCCATCTGAGAAGGCCTTCTCATTCGCACTTCCCCTCCTGGCTCGCCGCCAGTGATACATGCTCCAGGGCCGCCAAATCTCGGAAATCCCCGACGTGCCCCCTTCCGATAATGTCCCGGTCCTGGCTGTGTCTGCGTAGCTCATGGGGATCGCCGCCTCTTCCAGGACAAGGATCCTCCGAGGAATCCCATGGACGCCCAGAAGCATCCAAGACCTCATCGAATTTTGTTGCTCCAATCGTATATTCGGACCACATCCCCAAGAAATAATTTCGAGCACCCCGAACAGTACCGGAACAATGTCGAACGAGTATCGCCTCCCACAGCCCGAAACGTGAAAACCCTCAAATTTCGGTACTGTCTTGTTGGAAGTTCTCCCTGGAGATCAAGGCTCAAACAGGTTGGAACATCATCATCCTCGAACCGCGACCTCCCCCTCGCTCGACGCCGAGCAATGCCTCGATGGGGGGCATCCTCGCACTCGTGGTGGAACGTGCTCTCCCCATGGTCTCCGTACGTGCCGCATGTCTCCCCTCATCACCATCATCGGCGGACGGGCGCAAGATTCCCCGATATTATTCGATACGTTCTCGATGTGTTCGTCTCCCCCCCCACACTCTCCAGTTTGTCCAGCACTCCTCCTGGGGATCCACGATCTCTTGTGTCCGTGTACTCTCTTCCCCCTTGATGACCATCATAACTGACCATTCGGATCATCACCACCATGCTCACCCCGCGCTGGTTGTGCAATCCACCAGGTCGCGGGCTGGAACCTGGTGCGCCTTGCCTTGTCTTTCACTTTACCACCACCTTTGCGCGCGCCCCGCGCTCGCTCCGGTGTCGTGCAGGCCCTGGAGCGGCGAGCCGCGCAGCGCGGACGCGGGGCCGTGCAGGAACCCTTGGCAACCGTTGGCCTCCAGGCAAGCGCCTTCGCCCCGGAGGGTGCGGCAGTGATCCGTGCTCGGCCTTGGGCCCGGGGTGAACTGCTGTACTAGTGACTGCAGGTATTCGAATGAGAATCTGTCCCACCGGTGCTGGCCCCACCTCCGCGCTCTCCGCCCGCCGGGGGTAATGGAGGAAGAGGGGTGCGGAGAAGGGAGCAGCGAGGAGGCCTGAGAGAGGAGGGGGTACGAGGAGGGAGGGGAGGACGACCAGAGTACATAAGCACGCGATCCGCCGCCACTTCTGCAATAACACCTCCCGTCCCAAGCCCCCTTCCTCATGAGGCCCTACAAGCATTTCTCTCCCACCGCAAGCAACGCCAACTTGAAAGACGAGCACCCTTTGTGCTTGCCGGTCTGGCGAGAGGCACGTTTTGAAAAGGAGCTGCTCTGCGCCGTTCTAGCGAAGTGTACAAACCGAAAAGGTCAGGCAATCAAGTGTGGCGGTGCGTTCAGCGAGAGCCATGTTCCGAAACGGATCCGCTCCCCCCCTTCGCCAAACGAGTGCACAACAATTCGCCGGTGGCTGCCTAGCTTGAAGAAGTCGAGAGCGAGAACACCAATCTGAAAAGGGGGAGGACGGGAGGAGGAGGACGAAAATGAGTACGACTGGGAGAATGACGAGGAAGATTGAACATGAGAAAAAGATGCCCTGGAACAGTGATACGTGAAACAAGGTGGGGATGAATGGCATACGGAGGGCGAGGGAGGAACAACTGATGAAATTGATGCGGCGGGGAGGGTTCCTCCTCCGCCTCCTCCTCCTCCTCCTCCTCTGCCTTCCCCTCCAAGGAGATTACAGCACAAACATGACTCGAACAGAGATCCGCGCGGACTTCCGGGGTCGGCGCCGGAAGCGCCGCCGGGAGGGGCCAGCGCCGACCTCCGAGAGATCCGCGCGGACCTCCTCGCTCCTCCTCCTCGCTCCTCCTCCTCGCTCCTCCTCCTCCTCCTCCTCCTCCTCCTCCTCCTCCTCCTCCTCCTCCTCCTCTTCCTCCTCCTCCTCCTCCTCCTCGCTCCTCCTCCTCCTCCTCCGCCTCCTCCTCCGCCTCCTCCTCCGCCGCCTCCTCCTCCTCCAACTCCGTCGTGGGAACCCTCGCGCGGCCATCACGGGTCTGGGATGGCGAGGGGTGGGGGGTGGGGGGCATCATCTGGGGCGGGGGGGGAAGGCGAGGGATTTGGCGCCGAGAGGGAGAGCGGAAAGGGGGAGGGAAAGGCAAGATCAATCAGCATCGAGCTGGGAAGTCGGATCGGATCGTGTGTCGCATCGGGCCGCATCGGCACGGCGTCGGAATCGAATCGAATCGGCTCGGCCGTACCAATATGAACGCCAACGCCATGCAAGCAATGTGCTGCACCGGATCGTCGGAATACCAGAATCGAGCCGGATCGAGCCTGCCAGGATCGATACCGAATCGGATCGGGCCGAAGAGGATCTCCGCGGCAGGCCTCGTCGGCGCTCCCCTGCCAGCTCGAAAGCAGGCCACTAAGGGCCGCCCTGTGTCACCGCCGGCTGCACGCAAGAGTGGCCCTGGGCAAGAGCGGCCTCTGGTGCGCAGCTTCTGGCGGGCGCCAGGGGGGCCGAACCTGAGCGCGCACTGGCCATCGCTCGGACGTCCACTTCCTGTGTTTGTTTCGGTTTCGTGCGTGGTTTTTTCGCCAAATGATCAAGGATGCTTCTCGATGATCCTCGCCGAAGGAAAAATGCACACGTCCGAGCGATGCCAAGCGCAAGCCGATGCTACCGCATCGGGCTCCGCGGCCCGACGGGTCACTGTCGGGATGAAGAGGAGAGGGCAACGCACGCACAAGCTGATGGGGAGGGGGAAAGGGGAAGCGACCACCTACCAGACCACCCCAGCCCAACCCGAAGACCCGAATTTCGGGTTGGGAGGGGGTATGGGTTCCATAGGTGTTTTTTTCGATGCTCCCCGACACCCCCCCGACTGGAAATGGAAGGCAAACTGAGGCCTTCGGGTTGGGCTGGGGTGGTTTGGTAGGTGGTGAGGAAGGGCTAGGCGGTGGCGGCGCTATAGCCGCTAGAGGTGTGGGTGCGGGTTGTCCGACCAGGCTGGGGGCTCCCTATCGAGCGGGTGCCCCCACCAGACAGTCCACACCCGTAGCCCCACCCCACGGGATTCCGTCCCGAGAAGTCTGAGCGTCGCAACGGGTGCCAGCTGTCCGCGCTTGCAAGCACGTGCAATTGGCACCGTCAAGCCGGCTACACGCAGGACGTGGCCCTAGGCAAGAGTGGCCTTTGGTGCGCAGCTTGCCAATTCTCGCGCGCGACGCGTCAGTAGCGACCTGCATGCTTGGGTTTGGACACCTCGCGCACCCCGAAAGCCGCATTAACGGTCACTCCAGCGAAGGGTCACTCGGTAGAGACCTCCTGGATGCGGTCCGAGTAGAGGGTGTGGGAGGATAGTGCCGCATCTCCATAGATCGCCGATGGATCGGCGGTGCACTGGCGACGTCGGCGATGCATCGGCGAAGCCGGCGCGGAGAACATCGGGCTCCACATCGAGCCGCATCGGCGATGCATCGCTGATGCGGCGCACATCCACCGACCCCATCTACTCGGACCCACTCTGGGAGGCCTAGACTCTTACGATCGGCTGCACGCAAAGAGTGACCCTGGGTGAGAGTTACTTTTGTGCGCGGCTTTCTGGGGCCGCGGGTGGGTGGGTGGGGGGGCGAACACCAGCGCGCAAGACGCCACTGCCGCCTCGACTTAGGCGCTCGGGGGACCCCTTTGGGCCCGCACCAGAAGGTCACTCTGGCGAAATGCCACTCTTACGAGCAGTCGCGCGATGCGTCGGCGATGCGGCGCGCATCCACCGACCCCATCTGACCCCCTCTGAGAGGCCTAGGCTTAGATCGGGAATGTCCTCCTACAGGCGGATTTTGGACGAGAACCAACAACAGTCAAAAAGAATCAACAATAGTCAAAAATAATGAAGAAATCATCCACGTACGATCTTGTCTACCAATTTTGCACGAACTCCTCCTGGAGAATGACGTGCCCGACTTACGCCTATAGACTCTTGCGCATCGCCGCTCGAGGCTCTACCCTGGCGCGCGCCCGGCCTCCGGCGAGCTCTCGGCTCCCCCCGGCAGACACTTTGTTTCTGGCGCCCCTCTGCCAGCTGCCGGGCCATCCCCCCCCCCGCCGCTCCCGCAAGGGCAGGCGCGCGCGGTGCGGGCTACGTTGCCCTCACGTCGACCTGGTGGCGGCGGGGTTCGGCCTCCTCCTCCTCCTCCTCCTCCTCCTCCTCCTCCTCCTCCTCCTCCTCCTCCTCCTCCTCCTCCTCCCCCTCGGCCTCGGCGGTGGCTACGTTGCCATCACGTCGACGTTGCCATACGGTGTGCTCGCGGGGTGGCCAACATTAAGTCGGGAATGTCCTCCTACGGGCGGATTCTCAAACCAAAAAACGGAAACAGCAGTCAAAAGATGCCCAACGATTGCCAACGACAGCAGACAACTCTTCCCCAGACTATGTTTGGAATCTTCCCCTGACTATCCTTGAATACTCTTCGATATTCCTCTGTGGAGGGACATGCCTGACTGAAGGCCAGGCTCAGCCAGCACGAGATAATTTTGATACTTGACGGCGGTCACCAGGGTTATCCACTGGGGGGGGAGGGAGGTGACTGCCGAATCTTTTCGCCTTGGGCAGCCTCACGTATGCCCACGCGCACTAATACAGCATACCCTCTTCGGATCCGACACGGTCAGGTAATCTGGGGGGGCGGGCTCGAGAAACCGGGCTATCGCTGGATCGGAACGTGCGTCGGACCGAGCTGCATCGGCACGTTATCGACATCGCAGCGTACCGGCTGCGCCAAGACGCACAACAATTCAATGCAAACATCGAGCCGTACAGGACCGTCGGAATATCGGAATTGAACTGCATCGGGGCGGCCAGAACCGATATCGAATCAGATCGATCGGATCGAAATTGGCCCCGGCTTGGCTGGATGAGAGAAGCATTTGAGAGGCGACGGCGCAGACAGCAATGTAGCGAATGATTGGGGACACTATTTTTGTACACCGCCCACACAATCAAGCCGGTTTGCCCCAAGGCCGTGACGCGGGGGTTACAAAATTGGCATCCCCTGGGGGCGCGATTCTGCCCCCCCACCCCACCCCACAAAAACAATGGTCCAGCAGAAGGTGTGCGCGCGCGGGGGCGGTGGCAACCAATCGGCCCCCGAGCGATGCGACTCGAAACCGGGCCGTAAGAACGCGGGCAAGAACATGAGCTCCTCCTCCTGCTCCTCTCCCTCGTCCTCCTCCTCCTCCTCCTCCTCCTCCTGCTCCATCGCTGAACCCTCGTGCGGAGCGTGTGGCCATATCCACCCGTGTCCGTGTGGCCGCAACGGCACGCGCCGTGATCCAAACCTCGGGCGTCGCGCGTGCTGGGGGGGGGGGGCGATGAATGGGTTGGGCAGCGATGGCTGCAGAAAAGGTGCCCTGTCAGGCCCCAACGGGGGGCCTTTAGAGCGTGAGACGTGTACTTTAGTAGTGGAAACAATTGGTTTCCAAAATGTTTGGTCTTTAGACGCTCTGCATGGCGACGCCCCCGTCGCCACGCGTGCCCTCTGCGTGCCTGCGGGGGCGCCGCCACGTAGAAGTACCGGAGACCGAACATTTGGGGCGTCGCTACGTACGCCCCCTGCGTCTCCTTCTCCTCCTTCTCCTCCTCCTCCTCCTCCTCCTCCTCCTCCTCCTCAAACCTCCTCCTCCTCCTCCTCCTCCTCCTCCTCCTCCTCCTCCTCCTCCTCCTCCTGGCTGCGACCTTTTGTTAAAACCCTAGAACCAATTAAACTCACTAATAAAGTACCTTTCTCTCCCCCCCCCCGCATTTCTCGCCACACGGGAGCCCCCCAGCGCAAATAAGTCGGCGTGCCTCTGCTTGGCCTCCACCACCTTCCCCTGCCCTTCCGCCACCCAGCGCCGAGCGCGAGGCCGCGCCGACGGCGAGGCCCTCTCCTGTTTTGTGTGTGTGTGTTGGAACTCGCGCCGTAATGATGTGGTAAGGCTCACCCGTGTACTGCCGAGTTTAAGCAGAGATTGCCAGTGTCCACGCGCGTGTCAAACATCCCTCGTGACACAAAAGAGCACCCCTACTCCTTCGGGAGGGGACCTAAGTGAGGAGGGCCAGAAGCATCAGGGATAGGGGCTCTGTTCTGCAAGGTATCGAGCCAAACCGCCCATATTCAGTATCCCTAATGCAAAGACTTCTACCTCAGTGAGGCCACGTCTTGTCAGTGTTAAGAGGGTCAAGGGTTCTGTTATTCTCGCGGGATCCCAGAGTCCCAGAGCCACGACAACGTTTCTCTCGGCTCACTGACTCTGCTCAGTTTGCGTTAGCTCAAATAACCTTGTGCGCGAAACGGCTTATACACACATTTGTAACTTTCATTCTAAGCTGGCGGGACAATATAATCGATTGGGATGGATGAGGCGGGAACAATGGATGCATAAGTGGCAGCAGCGGAACCGTGTTTCCTTTGCCAGTGCGCTGTGTTGGAGAAGAAAGAAGAAGCCGCTCGAACGAGAAAGTGAGAACCCCTCGTCCTGGCATGCCAAGCGAGCGAACTCGCCCTTGAAGCACGAACCCAGGCGCCCCCCTCGCTCAGCGTCTCCCTCACCCTCACGGAACGGAGGCCGAGCTTGAGCGCCAATTGAGAACACAACAGACATTACCTGCCGCAGCGACGATCGCCTCCCATTTCTCCCCGACGTCTTCGGCAGACAAACAAAGAGGCGCCGTCGACCGTTGCGACACTCTCTCTTTCTCTCTTTCTTTCTTTCTTGTTTTCTCTGTCTCTCTCTCTTCCTCAATCTCTCTCGCTCTCTCTCTCTCTCTCTCTCTCTCTCTCCCTCGGCACCAGCTGCCGCTAGCTCCAAACTCCTGGGACGGTCTGGCCCACCGGCCACACGTGGCGGGCTCTGAACATCCCAAAACGCTGCCAGCTCTCGCATGGCAACACTTTGCTTCCGCCGCCTTCCGCCAGCCTTCCGCCTTAAGCGCCAGCCTTCCGTCTACTTCCGCCGCCTTCCGCCAGCCTTCCGCCGGCGGAGCCGCCGCCGTTTCACTTGCGCCGGCGTCCGCCGACCGTCCGCCGCCTTCCGCGCGGAGGAGCTGGCAACCCCTGCGACCCTCCGCAGGCTGGGCCGCCTTTGGAGCGCCCTCCGAGGCAAGCAAACCAGGGCTCGAGCGACGCCGTGCTGGATCTGCTCTCGTTTCGGGCCCGCTCTCTCCCCTCTTCTGCCCTCCTCCCGCCCGGATCCTGCAGGACGGGGCCGAGACGAACGCGGCCCACGAAATCCACGAAATCGACGTGACGCTGCTCAGCTCGGGCCCCAGCAGAGAAAAACGCCCTTCGGAGCAGACGACGACGCAGAGAGACCTCTGGGACAGCCCCTCCCGAGAGCCGCGCACCTGGCGATGGGGCCACGCTCGGTGGCCGAGTCCCTGGCAGAGGGGGTGGCCACTCGCAAGAGTTTACCAGCCTCGAACGTATCCCTATCCCTAAGATTGACACGCCGAAAGGCGATGACAATCTTGGGGATCCGCCCTCAAAAAATAGGGGAAGCCCTAAGATTGGCATCGTGACGAGGAGGTGCCCAGCATAGGGATAGGGATCTGTTCCAGGCTGGCAACGAGTGGCCTCCGGCAGGACTGACCCCCGGTGCGGGGGCTCTTTCGGGGGGGCGCAGGGAGGCCGAACCCGAGCGCGCAGGCCGCTGCGATGCCGCACGGCACTCGGCCCTCTGGAGGCCCCGGCGTGCCAGCACTATGCAGACCACTTTTCGGCGAGAGCCGGCGCACTGCTGACGCCCCCGACCCGCGAGAGGGGCGTCAACGCGCAGGCCCACCCCAAAAGGGGTCCATCTGCAGGCCCCGACCAACAAGGAACCCTGACATGTCAGCCCTTGCGAGACCTCAGCACCCTGAGATGCAGACCCCGACCCGAAGGAGCTTTGAGTGCAGACCGCGCGCGGAGTGCAAGGGTCTACCTTTTGGGGGTGCGTCGGGCAGGTCTGCATCTCCGGGGCCGCTTGTTTCTTTCCGGGGGAAAATAATAAGCCTGGTTTGCACCACCACCACCACCGCAACCATGAGTTGGATGGGGGGAAGGAGGAGGAGGACGAGGAGGAGGAGGACGAAGGAGGAGGAGGAGGAGGAGGAGGAGGAGGGAGGATGAGGAGGAGGAGGAGGAGGAGGAGGAGGAGGAGGAGGAGGAGGAGGAGGAGGAGGAGGAGGAGGAGGAGGAGGAGGAGGAGGAGGAGGAGGACCCCCTCCCCCTCCAACTTGTGGTGCTGGTGGTGAGAAACAAGCCCATCAAGAAAGGTCTCTCTTGCGCGTGGCCGCGGGGGGGGGGGAGGGCAGGGCGGGCTCCCGAGCGAACCTGCACGCCCGAGTCCCCGGGCGCAAAGGCCACGCCGCGCCCGTCGAGGTCGTCGCAGAGCTTGTAGCGCCCTGGCGCGCCGCCGCCGAGCGGCTTCGCTCTCCGTGGCGGGGGCGCGCTTCGGGGCGCGGAGCGGCGCGGGGCGCCCGCGAGGCCGCGCCCGACCGTGGCTTTTGTTGCGTCGGCGGCCAGGCAGAATGACTGCCCTGGCGGATAGGGCACGCGTGGTGCGTTCGGTGGGCGCACGCACACTTAGCTGCCCCGGTACGCAACACGCAGCACGTACCGCATCGATGCGGAGCTCAACACGCAGGCTGAAAACGTAGGTCCGACGCGATACACCCGCCAACACGTGGCCCAATACGTGGAGCCAACGTGCAACGTATTGACACGGACGTCCTGAACACGGGACGTGCTGCGTTTCAAAGCGCGCGCATCGAGGCAACTGAGCACGCACAAGAAGACATACAATTGTCCGCTGCAGCGCGGCGGGAGGCCGTCGCGCACGCGCGCTCGAACGGGTCGGGAGGCGGCTGGCGCCGAGCGTGCCCGGCAGCGAGAGGGGGGGGGGGGAAGGGCACGGGCAGGCGGGCGCGGGAGGGGGAGCATGAAAGGGCCCTGGGACACACAAATTCGCCGGCCCAACGGGCCAGGGCGTGCTAAGATCTCCGGTACCTGGTTAACAGTATTTCTAGTTCGCGCGCGCGGGGCGGCCCCTGGGGGTCCCCGGACGAAAAGT